CAACACACACACTCACACACACACTCAAACACACACACACAACACTCACACACACCACTCACCCACACACTCACACACACACTCACACACACACGACACCTCACACAACACACACACACTCCACACACACTCACACCACACACACACACACACTCACACACACACACACTCACACACACTCACACAACACTCACACACACACACACTCACTACACACACACCACACACTCACACACACTCACACACACCACCACACACTCACATCACACTCACACAACAACTCACACACACTCACACACACACACACACACACACACACACACTCACAAACTCACACACACACACACTCACACCACACTCACACACCACCTCACACCCACACACCACTCAAACACACACACACTCACACACACTCACACACGCAACACACACACTCACACACCACACACACACTACACACACACTCACACACACTCACACACAACACACACACCACACACACTCACACCACACACACTCACACACACCACACACACTCACACACACCCACACACACACTCACACACACACTCACACACACACACTCACACACACACACACACACTCACACACACACACTCACACACACTCACACACACTCACACACACACACACACACTCACACACACACCTCACACACACTCACACACACACTCACACACACACTCACACACTCACACACACCCACACACTCACACACACACACACACACACTCACACACACACATCACACACACACTCACACACACACTCACACACTCACAGCACACACACACTCACACACACTCACACACACACACACACTCACACACACACTCACACACACACTCACACACACCTCACACACACGCACAACACACACACACTCACACACACACGCACACCACACACACTCACACACACACACTCACACACACCTCACAACACACACACACTCACACACACTCACACACACACACACTCCCCCACACACACACTCACACACACACACTCACACACACACACACACACACACACACACACAACACACACCTCACACACACACACTCACACACACACACGCACACACACACACACACTCAACACACACACTCACACACACACACACTCACACACTCACACAACACACACACTCACACACCACTCCACACACCACACACACTCACACACACTCACACACACACACACTCACACACACTCACACACACACCACACACTCACACACCGCACACACACGCCACACCACCACACATCACACACACACACTCACACACCCTACACACCAAACACTCCACACACTCACCACACCACACACCACACACACACCCCACACACACACACACAAACACACACACACTCACACACACACACAATCACACACTCACACACACACACACACTCACACACACACGCACACACACACTCACACACACCACACACGTCACACACAAGCACCCACACACACGCACACACACACACACACCCAGCACACACTCACACCCACCTCACAACCCCCACACACACACACTCCACACACACACACACACCACAAACACACACACCACACTCACACACACACCACTCACCACACACTCACACACACACACACACACCACTCACACACACTACACACACTCACACACACACTCACACACACTCACACACACACACACTCACACACTCACACACACACACACACACTCACACAACCCACTCACAACACACACTCACACACACACTCACACACACTCACACACACACACACACACACTCTCACACACACACACACACACACACGACTTTAAAGAAATACACCACACTTTTCATAGCGTTTTTCTAATAAAAACAATTACAGGTGGCTTTTCTTTTCTTTTTAAATGCTTTACTTGATTTCTCAGATGTTTCTAGTCAGCATATGTTGCTTATTGGAGAAAATAGACAAGTTGTTAGACTTTTAAGTAGAAAGTAGAAGGAAGTGAGTGGAGTTACTACTCCTCATTCAGTTTGGTGCCATTTTACCATGTGGCAAAACCCAGGGTCAGAAAGAAAAGAGAGAGGGAGGGAGTGGAAACGGGGAAAGATGAAAGGAGAGAAAAGCAGAGAGGAGGGATTGGGGAGGAGAGGGGAGAGGAGGGAGGGGAGAAGAGGGAAATACTGCCTTGATGCTGAGCTCTTTCTGGGGAAAAACTTCAAAAAGCTCACTGGAGTGTGTTTCTTCCACAAACTTCCAAGAGCCCTTGTCCTTCCCCGCCCTCCCTAACCTTGACCCCATCCCCTCAAGGGCAGGCTCTAAGGGAGGCCCTTGGGTGTTTCCTTTGATCACAGAAACCACGGAGCAAGCCCCACAGCTGGGACTGACTCATTCCCTCTCCCCTGTCCCGAAGCCTCTCTTGGCTCATGTTTGGCAAGCCTTGCTTTTTTATGAGGTCTGCAGCTGTCTCAACTCAAAAACTCCCCCAAACTCCACCCCAGGCTTGAGCTCGCACTGTGGGGGCTGGAGATGGGGTTCACTTCTAGCCAGTTATGCCCCGAGAGGAGATGGAAATCAACACCAATCGATAAATAATGTGGTTCGCCAGCCCTTCCTGACTTCCTGCTGGGAGTGGAGTCTGCCCTGGGAGAGTCCGTGGGAAATCCTGGGTCAAATGCTTAGTCAGCCACCACAAGCTGTATCTTGTGTCTGAGTTCCCAACAAACAAAGATGTCATTTTCTTTTCATGCTCTCCTGCCCTCTCCGGCCAGCACATCATTTCCAAATACAGGGGCCTCGAAAAACAATCCTGTGCAGAACTTGAAATTTAAATCCCATTTTCAAAACTTGTGCGGTCAAGACACAGGTCAGATGGCCCCAAGAGCTTACCAGCAACGGGGATCTGGCCTGCCCGCCCCTGCCCCAAGGCTCCACGCTCACAACTTCCAACCACGCAGGGGGAAGTGAGCCAGACCCAGACTGTCTGGTCCCGGAGCCATTAGGAACATGTGGTTATTGAGCACGTGGAATGTGCATAGTGCAGCTGGGGAACTGAATTTATTTTATTTAATTTTAAGACACTTTAACATTAGAACTGAATTGTAAAATATTTCTCAGTAAGACTTCATTGTTTGGTTGAACTACTGTGTTAGTTCCCTGTTGCTGCCATGATAAATTACCAGAAACCTTTCAGCTTCAGACAATCCAACCTTTTTATCTCAGAGCTCTGGAAGTCAGAAGTCTGACATGTCGCTGGGCGAACATCACGGTGTCGGCTGAGCTGGGGTCCTCCGCGAGTCCGGGGGAGAATCCCTTTCCCTGCCTTTTCCAGCTTCCAGAGGGGCCCCCATTCCTGGCTCCGTCTTCCCTGTCTTCCAAGGAGGTGATGTTGGATGCCTCCAGCTGTTCTTCCATTTTCATAGCTCCCTCTGACCACAGCCGGAAAGGATCCTCCCCTTTTATGGACGGTTATGACTTCACGGGGTCCACCCTAGAGTCATCTCATTTCAAGGTCAGCTGATTAGTAACCTTTATTGGATCTGCAACCTTAGTTCCCGTTTGCCATGCAAGGTGACATACTGATAGGGTCCAGGGATTCGAACGTGAACATATTGGGGGCACCATTATTCTGGCTGCCACGCCGCATCCTTCCCATCCCACCAGATATTATTGCTGTAAAGTTGTGCATGTGTTGGACAGGTGTATTCCTGCTACTATTACTCATAAACACATCACCCATCTCGTGGGTATCAATGGGTTGATCCAGTAAGGATGACTATACTTCTATGCACTAATGCAGTGGTCGGCAAACCGCGGCTCTCGAGCCACATGCGGCTCTTTGGTCCCTTGAGTGTGGCTCTTCCACAAAATACCACGTGCGGGCGCACACGTACAGTGCGATTGAAACTTCGTGGCCCATGCGCAGAAGTCGATTTTCGGCCTGGGCGAGTCTATTTTGAAGAAGTGGCGTTAGAAGAAGTGGGGGGTGTCGGGCGAAGGGAGATGCGGCACAGGAGGCTGCAGGATACGCAGTGCAGGGGAGGCACGCGCGATTCATGCACGAGTTGAGTGAGCCAGTCAGTCAGCAGTCTCAGGTGCAGTGGTTAGTGCTAGTCGCGTCCACAAATCGTGTGCGGGTGACAAAAGTACCTACTCGAAGCATAAAGTTACCTGTATGTTTCCAACCAGCTGCAAATCCTACAGGTATTTTTGTCATCAATTTAAGAATTGTAATTCTTTTGTGTTGGTGGCTTTATTATTATAAAATGAAACATTTTTTTAGGTGCCCTGTTTGACATGGCTACAAAGAAGAAGCAAAGAAAAACGGAAGACGAAAACTGTGAATTTAAAGTTGAATGGACCGAGACTTTCGCGTTTATTCAAAACTTAAATGGCCTTCCGACCTGTCTTATTTGTCAGGAAAAATTGGTGCATAACAAGAAATCAAATTTGGAGAGACACTTTACAACTAAACACATGTCATTTAGTACTAAATATCCTGTCGGTGATGCAAGGAAGAAAGCAGTTGAGGAACTTCAGAAGAGTCAAGAAAAATCAAGTTCTGTATTTAATTACTGAATGCAATCTTCCAACAATGTTAATATTGCAAGTTTTGTGGTTAGTCAAGAGATTGCTAAGAGAGGAAAACCATATACAGATTGCGAATACATAAAAAGTTGTTTTATAGCTGAAACCGGTTTGGCTCAGTGGATAGAGCGTCGGCCTGCGGACTGAAAGGTCCCAGGTTCGATTCCGGTCAAGGGCATGTACCTGGGTTGCAGGCATATCCCCAGTGGGAGATGTGCAGGAGGCAGCTGATCGATGTTTCTCTCTCATCGATGTTTCTAACTCTCTATCTCTCTCCCTTCCTCTCTGTAAAATATCAATAAAATATATTTTTTAAAAAAAGTTGTTTTATAAATGCATCTAAAGAGCTAATTCGGGATTTTAAGAACATAGCTGATATTCTTAAAAAAATTAGAAATTGTCTGCTAAAACAGTGAAAGATAGAACAGTCAAAATGTCTTCGAATATAACCAACCAACAAGTCGAAGATCTTAAATTGGTTTCATCTTTATCAATAGCAGTTGACGAGTCTTGTGACATAAATGACACAGCACAAGTTTCACTTTCTGTACAATTTATTTCATCTACAGGTCCTAAAGAAGAACTTTTAGGATTTTTGCCACTCAGAGGTCAAACACGTGGAGAGGATATAGCAAATGCTGTAATTGAGTGCATTGAGAAACATCATATTCCACTCGTTAAAATTGTCTCAATTTCAACAGACGGGTCGAAAAGTATGACGGGCGTAAGAAATGGGTTTGTTGCTATTTTGAAAGAAAAAATTAATCACGAGATACTTACCATTGCATCATTCATCAAGAAGCGCCTTTGTGCGCAGACATTTCCAGAAGAAATTTGTGAAGTTGTGGAATTGGTGATTAAGATTATCAACTCCATTATAGCTAAAGCTCTTAATCATCGCCAGTTTAAAGAATTTTTAGTTGAAATGGAGAGTGAGGACGCAGATCTGCTGCTGCATAACAAGGTACGCTGGTTTTCAAGAGGAAACGTTTTGAAACGTTTCGCTTCCTTATTAACAGAAATGAAAGCATTTCTCCCTGAGAAGGGTGTTCACTATCCAGAACTAACGAACGATCAGTGGATCCAAAAATTTTATTTCATGGTAGACGTTACGTCTCATCTAAATCAGCTAAATCATAAACTACAGGGGAAAGGAAACACACGTTTTTCGATGTTAGAAGAAGTTTTTCATTCGAAAACAAATTATCTCTTTTTGCTCAAGATTTTGAAAGAGAAACTTTGATTCACTTTCCAAGCCTGTTGAACATCGCCAAGAAAATAATTCTGATATTGACATTTGCTATTTCAAAACAACACTTTTAAATATGAGGGAAACTTTTTCAACAGGTTTCAGGAATTCAGAAACAGAAAAGTGACATTAGCCTTTGTTAAAAAACCTCTCAATGCTACTGTAACAGAATTAAATTTTTCTCCCTTTAATATTGACATTGGCAACTTTGAAATGCAATTGCTGGATTTAAAAAACAAAGAACTGTGGAGTTCGAAATTTGAAAGTCTTTGTGCTGATATAGAAATATTGGAGAAAAACAAATGTGAACTTAGTTCACAGCACAAGTGGTCTGCTTTGAAAGACCTGGAGAAGAAGATATGTTGATTTTTAACACCTGGAATAGTATTCCTGACTCATATAATCAACTGAAAAACTAGCATTTGCTGTTCTTTCCTTATTCGGGTCTACATATTTATGCGAACAATCATTTTCAAGCATGAACCTTATCAAGAGTAAATTGAGAAGTTGTCTTACTGATGAGAACCTGGAATCGTGCCTAAAATTAAAAACAACAGCATACAAACTGGACTTACCCAAACTTTCCAAGGAGATGCAAGGCCATTGTTCACATTAGTGTTTGTCAGTCATTATCATGATTTAATTTTATGGATATTATAAGGTAAATTGTAAGGAATTTAATTTTATCAATAAATAATAGCGTTTTTAAGTATGATATCAAGTTTTAGTCAATGTACCTATAGTTTAACTAAGACTTAAAACTTTAAGTAAAGTTTATTAAGTTAATTTTAGGGAACGTTGTGGAGTGAAAGAAGATGTAGTGTTGAGGATTGAGAAAGGTATGTTGAGATGGTTTGGACATATAGAGAGGATGAATGAAAGGAGATAGACGAAACAAGTATAGAAGACAAGTGTGGATGGGAGAGTTGGAAAGGGTCGACCTCAGCGAACGTACCTCAATCAGATTGAGGACGTTTTTAGCAAAGGCCAGCTTAGGAGTACCCTAATTAAGTTAATAACAATGTACCTACCTATATAGTTTAAGTTTAAAAAATTTGGCTCTCAAAAGAAATTTCAATCGTTGTACTGTTGATATTTGGCTCTGTTGACTAATGAGTTTGCCGACCACTGCACTAATGCAACACTATAATGTGCTTACTTGAATATTTTATACAGATGGTACATGTTACCAATTTAAATATTTATGTATTTAAACTGAAATCCTATTCTTTTAATATAATTAAATTATTTTTCTAGTTGAAAAAATAAATATAGACAAATTTAAAAATTTTAAATGGAGGAATTCTACTGTGCAAAATCAAGTAGATATGCAGAATCATAAAGAAAACCAACAACATCATCATTTTCAGGGTGAGTGGCAGTTACAATCAGCAGGAAAAGAACAAACAGTGTTTTTGTATGTTGGGTAAAAGATAATAAAATGAATAGTAACTGACACTTCTATCAAATACATAATGAATTTGATAAGAAATAGTCTCTCAATGGTTGAAAAAGCAAATAAGACAATTAGAATCAGAATTAAATGTCCAATAAAATCTTTAAAATGATTTTACTAGGATCTGCACTTGTAACTGTGACCAGCTATAAAAAGACTTGAATTATTGCACAGAAAAAGAATAGCATTTCTAGATTTTTAAAAATTATTATGTCAGTTACAGAACTTTTGTTAGAATGTGAGGAAAACACTAAAAAAAATTTTTCAAAAAGTATAAAATTTTCAATTAAACCAGCATAGAATTGGATGTAGAATTCAGAACCCCTTTTTTAAACATCAATGATTAGAAGTCCTAGCTAATGCAATAAGACAAGAAAATTAAATAAAAGGTATACAGATTGGAAAAGAAGAAAAACCCCATCTTTTTCACAAATGACATGATTGCCTATGTAGAAAATCTGAAAGAATTGATTAAAAACTCTTGGAATTAATAGTGATTATAGCAAGATTGCTGGACACAAGATCAATACACAAAAGTTGATCCTTTCCCATCTACCAGCAATAAACAAGTGGAATTTAACATTAAAACACAATACAATTTATATTTGGACCCTCAAAGGGAAATACTTAGGTATAAATTTAACAAAATAGGTACAAGATCTATACGAAGAAAACTACAAAACTCTGATAAAAAATTAAATGGGAGATATTGCATGTTGATGGTTAGGAAAACTCAGTATCAGTTCTTGCCAACCTGATCCATAGATTCAACGCAATCCAAATCAAGATACCAGCAAGTTATTTTATGGATATTGAAAAATTGGTTCTAAAGTTTATATGGAGAGGCAAAAGACCCAGAGTAGCCAACACAATAATGAAGGAGAAGAACAAAGTTGAAGGACTGACACTACCTGACTTTAAGACCCACTATAAAGTTACAGTAATTAAGGCAGTGTGGTATTGGTGAAAGAACAGACAAATGGATCAGAATAGAGAGCCCAGGAATAGACTTTCCATAAATATAGTCAGCTGATCTTTGACAAAACAGCTAAAGCAATACTACAGAGCAAAAATAAGCTCTTCTACAAATGGCACTGGAACAACTAGACATCCACATGCAAAAAAAAAAAAAAAAAAAATCTACACACAGACCATATACCTGTTACAAAACTTAACTCAAATTGGGTCATAGACCTAAACATAAATGAAAAACTATAGATCTCTTAGAACATAACATTGGAGAAAACCGAAGTGGCCTTGAGTGAGGCGATGACTTTTTAGAGACAACACCAAAGGCACAATCCATAAAAGGAAAAATCAATCGGCTGGACAGCATTACAATAAAAAACTTCTGCTCTGCAGAAGACGAACTGCACTGTGCACTGACGAACCTGGGCTTCTTGTTCAAGAGGAAGTCTGACCAGCAGGTCTGAGCACCACGCTGATAGCTGCAAAGATGTAGAAGTATCACCATCATCATCATCATCATCATTATTACTTTGGTTGTTATTTTTTGCTTGTTTCACCTTAAAAAAAAACCTGTTTTTCAAAAAATGAGTGAATGCTGAGTCACAAGTGCAGAACATGCATGGAGATGGGTGCATGTCTGTCAGGATTAAGCCAGGGCACCTCTGGGAGAAGGCCGACCTTCACCTTGGTGTTGAAATCCAATCCTAGAGTCACTAGGCTGGCCCGCCGACTGGGGTCCCTGTGAGGAAGCCAAGAAGACAGCTTTGCCAACAGTTGGTGCTGGGTTCGAGTGTGATTCTGCCACCTACCTGAGCGGCCTTAAGCAAGTCTTTTAAGCTCTCCGAACCTCAGTTTCCTCCTCTGAAACACGGGATAATAACAGTACTTTCCTCCTCGGGTTCTTTGAGGACTGACGCATACAAAACACATTATGACATTATTATTTCTATTGTTATTCTAACTTCGAGACCAACCTGACTACTTAAAGCATATTTTCAGCAGGAAACTCAGTTTAATCATATTCTTTGTACTAACGGCCTGGCTATAAACCAACTGCTCTTTTCAATGTCCTTGGCCTGGGCAGAGTTTCCTCTGAGTCAGTCTGTAAACCAACTGCATCCTAATTAATTCTCGTTATCCAGTCACTCAGAGCAGGTTGGGTCAGGGACAGCCACTTGCCCTACCACCAACCCCCTACCACCACCGCATCCCCACACATGTCTGGTCCTTCTGTCATTGCCAGAATGCTAGCTGGTTACGTGGTCACCCAGAATGGGACTACATTTCCCAGAAGACTTTGCAGCCGGGAGTGGGCATGTGACCATGTGTTAGCCAATGGGCATGAGAAGAATATGGACAAGTTCCTGGTTATGTCCTGGGAGGTGGACCAAATCAAGTCTTCTGGTTGAGGAAGCCAGTGTGAAAAGGCTACACACTGTATGATTCTAACTATAAAACATTCAGGAAAAGGCAAAACTATAGAGATAGCAAAAAGATCAGTGGTTGCCAGAGGTTCTTAGGGAGGGGATAGGGATTAATAGATGGAGTACAGAGACTTTTTTTTTAGGGTGGTGAAACTATTCTGTATGATACTGTCAAAGAGGATACATGTCATACATTTGTCAAAACCCAGATTTGTTGTATAGAACTATACAACATAACAGTAGACCCTAAACGATGAGCTTTAGTTAATAATATACCGATTGTGGCTCATCAGTTGTAACAAATGCGTCACACTAATCAGATAATCATAGGGAGGATGTGTGCAGGGAGGTGAGGGAAAGCACTCACTGTACTTTCTGTTCATTTTCCTGTTCAGTTTCTGTAAATCTAAAACTGCTCTAAAAACATAAGGTCTACTAACATTTTCAAAAAGTGAGTTGACTTATGTGAGGGGAAATAAATCCAGCATGGAATAGGAGGTGGTATAAGAGCACGGAAAACAGCACTGGGAGGCATGTTTGGGAAACATGATGTAAGAGGTATGCATTACAACTGGGGTCTCTGTTAATGTAGGACAATGGAGAAAAGCACTAAACACATTGAAAAAAACCAAAATATTTTATTAATAACTTGAGATCTATTGAAGCTGCATAGGCTACACCAGGTACAGCTGGTTATGAGGTTAAAAATAACTTGGGATGAAATAAGAGACAAAAAACATACTAAGACATCTCACGCATGGCCTCCACTGGCCGATGGAAAAGCTCAAGGGAGA